CCATTTTCATGGAGAATTTTTCTAATTGAATGATTGGTAATAGTGAAAATGAGCAATTTTGAAGTGAGTGTTATGGAAGTGCAGAACAAGGATATATTTTAACTTGGTGACTATCATCAGATCCAGGGCCAGTCATGGTACCCTCATATCAGTAGAAGTAGGATATATCGTCTTGCACTATGAAACAATTATTTTCATTCGAAAGAATCTAAATTTGCTTTCTTGGACAAGATAAGGCAACCAAGCTTCAACTGTTCGGTTATTGAATGAAGAGCTGCTTGAACGCTATATAGACCACACGCGCACATCCGAACCGCCACGCGACCTCCTGTTGCGGTACTACCTCTTGGGGCATTCTAATCTCCCAGTCCCATTCTTCCTTCGCTAACCTTGGCTGATGTTTTTCGGAGACTGTATGACATGTACAGCGGAATCAAGACTTTTTTAAAAATGAAGTCTGGGCTTAACATATGGTACAGGGAAAACCTGCATTAATTCCTGACATGCCTACGTGGCACGTGCACAGCGCTGAAAGGTTTGCGAGTTCACGCTAATGATGTTCAGGTGGCGTTCACTTGTTCAGCAAAGGGCGGATGTAATGCAAACACAATTCCCACTACGTAGGCGAGCCCAACATCACCTTGTAACGTTCTTTTGGACGCCATTATATTTTCGCTGTAAGCACATCAGTGTGCAATCCGTTATGCTTCATGCGCCTCTCATAACTTCTCTAACAGGCCTGAAACTTGATCCTCATTCATCCCTCACATGCCATGCATTCGAGAAACCTTTCTTCCTCAATCTCCTTTCCCAGCTGCTTCGTTGGGTTAGGTGTTGGTATATGTGGGAATCGTGCACTTTGCGTTCTTTCAGAAACGTTTTCCACGTGGATTAGACAATGGCAGGAACGAAATTGTTGATGTTGTTAGAGTCAGTGACAGTTCGACCTCGTACTCGGCCCGGAAAGCAGCCGTGACTGGAAATGAATCATGACTGCCAAAAACCGTTCTCCAAGTCCCACCTCTATTTTTACCTTATATTGAACGTGAGCGTGTGACGCGTGCGAAGCTTTCATTGGGATGATGAGGCAAGTTCCTAGTAAAAGATTATGCGAATTTTATCAACATGATGCTATTTCGTACACGTACTTCAGAGCCGTAAGAGTGTCATAACACCCCAAGCAGCATGTTTGTGTAAACAAGATGTTGATTTTTTTGCAAGCAGTCAATTTCTTGCGATTGTCATGCTAATGATATCACGTTTATATAGAATTTACATTCCTCTATTTACATCACCTAAGGGGGTGTGTCTTTCATATAAAGTAGACATGACTTCACCTGATATGAAGCACATGACATGAAGTTTATGCAAACTTAAGACCACAACATCCATATGAAACTTTAGCTGACTCTAGACCAGCGGTTCCCAAACTGTGGGTTGCGTACATTTTCCCAGTATAAAAAGTCACTGTATCCGCATTTGCTTAGGATAAAACATGTCCTGCAGGAAAAGTCGATCAGTTTTCTTCACGTCATAATTGGTTTGAAAATACCTCGTTCTGGATTCCGGTGGGCCGCGAAATTTTTTGTACGTCTGCAGGTGGGTCGCGATTCAAAGAAGCCTGGGAACCGCTGCTCTAGACTGTAGTACCAAGATCCCTCACTAGATGGAACCCATGTTCCCTGCACCCAACAAATGCAATTAAGTACTTGCTTTCCGGAAATAGTATCAGGTCTTTCTCTCCTCCTTCCTCCCCTTTATGCAGTAAAATTCTCTGTTCTTTTAGCGTCCATGAAGTCGGGTGAGCCTCCAACTCGCATACTCCCATCCAGAATTTTGAATGTCTAGCCGCCACAAGCGCTTGCAAAGAGGTTGCTTCGATTGACCAAAGTAGCGGTGCTCTGGGGAAACTTTTTGCTGAGTCTGAAAAGTAACCGGAGGAGCTGGACTAAATGGAGTTCCTTCCATGGAACATCCATAATATCTGCCTCGTATAAGGCCACCACGGAGATAAGGGCATTTAACATTTCAAAGTCATATCTGGTAGACAAACCGTATGCCTACGATTTAATCCTCCGGGCCTTGGAGATGGCCGTTTAAGCCCTCTCATAGTAATAGTTGAAATGTTTCCGCCTACATCCGCTCATAGAAAAATGCACTCCCAAATATTGGGAGCTGGCTCCTGTTAGCATTTTTCCCCCATCGTAACTCCCAATTTCGTCTCTCTTCATTTTATTACCCTTAAATACAGAAAAAAATTAATTGACATGGTACCATTCACCTCCAGTCTGTTAAGCTTGCTATATTGTAGTAAGATGTTTAAACAAATCTACAGGTTTTTAGGTACTTAAGATGGTAAAACCAAGTCGTCTGCATATGGGAGGCATGGAATTGGACGCCATACCAGGCTGGGAAATAGGAAGTCCTCAGCTATCAATGCGTCTGGGATATCATTGTTGAACAGGGAGAATAATGTTGGCGAAAGCGGACAGCCTTGTCTCACTTCTTTTGGTAAGGCGACAACTACAGGCGGTCATTTTCACAGCAAACAGTGCATCTACGTACATGGCGACTATGATTCGTAGCATTTGATGTCTGATTCCGATCCAGGGGCGCAACCCCCCTGGGTCTGAACCCCCTCAAACCCCTGCTCGTGATGGTATCTCTCTACTTCTCCATCCCCCGAGGGTGGGGGACGCAGAAAGATATCATGAGCAAATGACCTGAGAGCGAAGCTGGAAAGGCACAAAGATAAGAGGTGTAAGGTGAAGGTCACGCCAGTTACATGTAGCAACTCACTTTGGTAAAGTGAACCTGTCAAGGAAACGTCCTGCATATGTGACGCTACTGAATTTTTTTCTGAAAAAGTAAGGACGACAAATAAAATAAATGGCGTGAATCGTACAGGTTAATGAATTTCCAGTTGCACACTTGTGCAGTGATATTTGGGCCGAATCCCGAAATTAATTTAGCTAATTTTAAACTTTTTCAAATATCGAATGTGCTTTCATCTAGTGTTCAAATTCCGTTTCCGCCAATTCATAACATTTTCCTTCGTTTCATTTTCTTTGTTCGCGTGTTCGCGCCGTATCGCGTTTTTGTTGGGTATGTCTCTCCTGATGATTTGATAACACCATCTTGCATTCGGAGACATTTGAAAGACAGGTCATGTGAACTTCGAACCCCCCCCCAAACTTTAAGACTGGTTGCGCCACTGTCCCGATCTTAACTAATTTTGGCCGAAGGACATTCCTATCAATGGAGTCGAATGCCTTCCAGAAGCCGATGAAGCTTGCACAGAGCATGCCCGCGTTTCTTCGCGCAGTACTTGGTGATTAATGTATCCGAGATGAAAGCGTTATCCGTAGTTGAAAAAACCGATCGGGACCCAGTTTGTAGGGAGTCATGATGTTGTAGTGGTTAGCCCATCTCCTAACTCGCTTGTTCAGAATCTTCGTGAAAAGTTTCGCAATTCATGGTAGTAGTGCGGTAATTGTCGGAGAATTCTTTATCTCCCTTACCCTTATAGATTGGTTATAAGATACCCACCTTCCATTCATTGGAGTAGAAACCAGATTCCAGGATGTAATTAAAATAGAAAGGCATTCATGTTAGATTGTTCAATCCTATCAAGTCCTCCGGATGTGGCCGCAAAGAAATTCGGTTTGCGCTGACCGGTGTGGGCACACGACAAGGCGTTCGATAGCAAGGGAATGAGAAAGAGGAAAAGTCAGAATCGGTGGAGGTGGAGGTAAAGGCTCCGGGTCTGGTGCTTACGATATCGATGACAGGAGAAGGGAAAACCAGCCTGAAAGTTCGTGAAATTGCGGCAGAGTATACCTGAGGTGCTCGTGTCTGTTCTTGGGTAGTGGGTCTCGACCAAGGACCACTTTGGTCTCCCAGAGCGCCTGTGCTTCTCGATGCTCGCGTCATCTGGCCTGAAATGTCCTACCCGTTATTCGGCTTTCGTTTATTTCACGCAATCAAAAAACGTTCGCAAACTGCGTACAGCCATAAATGTTCGCCACTGATTCCCCTTCTTTCGCTATGAATTCAACCACGCTCGCTGCCTCAACGATACTTTGTTAGCATTCTCCATTCTGCTAACAACTGCCGATAAAGTCCTTCGTGAAGGGTAGATTTGTTTCTACGGGCATTCCGTGATATTTTCAGAAGTGCGCATGTCAAACTGCGTGCGTCTGTTACGTTTGGTCTTGGAGAGATGAATCAAGGATTAGACCTTTCAGAACGCCCCTCGTATTTACTGTGCCTTCAAGAGCCAGGAACCTTGAAAACGCGTTCATATGAGAGTGCTCAAAGACTTCAAATCTCGAGATGCGGCCGCTCGATTCTTTCTTTTGTGAACGCCGTATGAGGAATACGGAGCAGTTTTGCGAGATTTATGGAACACGAATGAGTTGGCTAATGCAAAAGCACATCTTTACTCAGACACTTCGTACACCAGAATTGTAGCAGCAACTATTTAATTTTTAGTCGAACTCACCTGTTCCACACACCCAAACGTTCATACATCACAGGAGGCATTTTTTCCCGGCGACGCGGCTCTTCCAAGCAAGGAACCCCACCGACCGGGATTCCCGAAAATATCACAGACGTCAGTGTCAATGCAAAACGAGACGCGAAGGCACTGCGGACGGGAAAACACCCCGAGCCGAGTGGAGACTCCATCTCCAGTCCTAGACAGCCGACCAATTAAGAAGGGGAAAACTGGGCACGCCGGCACCAACTCCGCCGGCCCGATTACTCGTTTCCCCGCACTCCAAACTTCCAGAGAGAGAAGAGAGATGAGATCGCCGGGTTCGAACTCCTACGCCCTTCTCATCGCCATCGTCATTTTCAGTTACAATGGAGCTCCTGAAGCGATGGAGTCAGTTTCTTCCTTTTTCCTGGATGCCTGACAGGGACTGGGGCATAGAAAGTCGAAGAAAGGGAGAGAAAACGAAGAAAAATACATATCCAATATCCATGATCAAAGCGTCTCAAATCGTGCACTCTTCTTTCTGGCCGTAGATGGAAACGAGCCTCGAAGTTAAGAAAGTAGAAATATAATGGTTTTGCTCGGCCACCAGGCCGTCCCTCCACGTGTCAATGGTGTAGTTCTTAATTCCCGGCTTGTGCACGAGAAACGCATTGTCCAGAATGAGGAACCGGTACCCCAGCACGCACAACGCATACATCTGAAAAAGAGAAAGCACGAAACTGGAGCCCGATTCAACACAGGTAGAAGTTTCTCTTCCGACTGTTTATCGGAAATCCAATCTGTCCTCCTTTCAGACGCTGGGTAAAGTCACTTATCGAATTTTGCTGCTAGTTCTAAGCATCACAACTTGGGAACTTACTTCACTGCTCATGATGAATGTGTGTTTATTTTGACCTTGCACAAATTTCCAGTTCTGTAGAAAACGATGGGGGGGGGGGGTCAGTTAAATCGCATGTGTTGAACTTTTTTGCTTAGAAAGGTGCAGCCTGAAGGGGCGCAAGAAACTGAAATAAAACTTTCCAGAAACTCGGGTGGAACCGAGTCATTCCGAGATTGAAATATCTTCTTTCTTACGGACTGGTGCTGAGGGAATCAACGAACAATCGAATGAAGAAAATCTGTCAACGTCATCGGAAACAGAAATGATTCCAATTGCCGAGTGGTCAAACGCCACTTGGCGATGGGGAGCATCGACTGACCTGAGTCCTTTTGTCTTTCTGCCCCTCCCAAGTGAGAGTCTCCTCGTAAGGGGGATCGAAGCGGGTTCCGATGAAGATCGGTTCCCAGTTCTTGAAGTCGCCTTCTCGCTGGGCCACGTGGAACACGTTCAGCTGCTCTGGGTCGCGTGGCGCTTCGTTCGTCCATTCTTGGGCCTTGGGAACGTGATGGCACGTGGGACATATGGTCTTGTGGAAAGGGAGGGCTGTTTCATTTCGAAGCATTTCCACCAATTCGCTCTTCCGTCTCGGAGGTTCCGTTCCCTCCTTCACTTCGTATATGGATACCACGAACGCCTTTGGGGGTTCTGCATTCATCAGCATCGGGTGACGCAGAACCATGTCGATGAACATGGGAGCCAGGTTGTCGCTCGGATAGAGCTCGATGTCCGAGGGAAGCACGTAATGAGTGGTGGCGCTTTCTATGGCGACGTTCCTCAGGATGTTGATGGGATATAGGATCTGCTCGGCGGTTCCTTTTGTAGTCTTTCGAAAAGAAGGTTCTGTTGTGTTCCACGGAGGCGATTCCGAACAGTCGACCTGGATCAGAGTGAAACATCTCCGTTAATTTCTCTTAAAATCCCGAGTGTCCTTCCCGTCGGAGTTCTCGTGCATCACGGAACACCTGATCAATGAGGATCGGTGTGCCATGTCACCTCATTCCCATTTTCCTGACTCTGACCGACTCCAATTTGATGCAACTTTCGCCGAGTTACAGTCGACTCCGTTTAATCGAATACCGCTTAATGGAATATCATTGTACGGTCCCGATTTTCCCACCAAAAGGTACATTATGAAAAACATCGCATGAAGGAATACGGTTATTAGAATAATCCGCTTAAAGGAATAAACATTCCTGAAACATAGAATACTTCTTTTCAGTTCACTGTAAAACAAAATGCTGATTTTTGCCATTCCCGTTCTTGGAATGTCTCCTACTGCCCTTCCTCCAGTTCCGCTTCGTAGAACCAAGGTCACTTGACAACCAAGGTCACTTGACTCTTCCGTGAACAGAGGGCAGGGGCAGGAGGGAAGGCAAGACCACACTTCCCTAGAAAAATGAGGGTGTAAGTATGGGCTGCAAATGCTGGAAAGAGGCAAAAAAAAACTGCCTTTTTTTTAGGCGAAAGTGAAAGAAAGTTTACCTGAACTATAAATTGAGCCTATAGGCATCAGTTCTGCTCATTCCGAGTCGACCATGCGGAAAAGGAAAGAAAGCTTGGCCGAGAAGATTGCAGTTCTGAATGCCCATCAGGACGAAAAGACGCAAGCTGAACTAGCACGGTAGTTTGGGATCTCTCAGCCGCAAGTTAAAAAAAAATCATGAAAAACAAGGCAGCAAAACATTGTAAACGCATTCTCAAAAGGGCCAAAAGCGGAAATACGGATACTGTACTTGAGGATATACATCTTAAAAGCTGCCTGAAGTATGAAGGAAAAGTAAAGTAGTACTATTGCTTCGGTTATTGGAATACTCCGGATTATAGAATAAAGTTCGTTGGTCCCGTGAGCATTCCATTAAGCGGAGTCGACTGTATTTTGAGGCACTTCTCAGCGACTTGAAAAACCAAATTTTTTAAGACGTCTTCATTGCACCAACGAGTAGTCATTACGTGAGACCTGCAGCGATCTAATCTGAATTTGAATTTAAACTGAGTTGCTCCTAAAAAAGATGCCATGGTTAATCGGGCCTTTTCTCGCCTCCACTCTTTAGCCTACTTCGACTAAGATTTTGATTCAGGGCGGATGAGTGATAGAATTTTTATGTTAGGTTTTTCCCTGGAGACAGACTAGCAACTAGCTCATTGGCCCTGTCTTCCTTCCACTCTTCCCCTTGCTGGTTTACTGCTCAGCACATAATCCATATGAGATGCGATATGATGGCCTATTAGGAGGAAGTGGCTCAAGGCCCAAGCTGCACGTTCAATTTAGAATCCCTGCCAACGGCTAATCCTAGCCGAAGGGGTTTTCTTACCGTCGAACAAACTTCACGAACAAAAATGAGCAATGCGTACTCCCATCATAATATCGAATGCGTACGACTGTCTTAATTCGATTCACTTCCGTATGGCTGTCGCGTAGATTCTCTGACTGATGTTAAGTTTAATCCTCCCTTCACGACAGCAGAACTTCATCTTCGAAAAGAGCAGAGCGTACCTTTAAAAAGGTGTCCACATCCTCGACGGGTGGGACGATGCTGGGAGTGTGATCGAGAGGGAAGACGAAATGGAAAGTGACAAGACGTCGAATCAACTCCGACTGACATTTCCTCATGTAAAGTGCACTGTGAAGGGATGTGTTGAAGTCCTCTCCTGGGGAATACACTGCCAGAGACACTGGAGCCCGCCATCGTTCCACCAGCGGTTCTAGATTCTCTAGGTATTCGTACTCGCTGTGTGTCGTGTACGTCACTGTCTCTCCACACGAGAAGTTGTCCTCCGACAAGAAGTAATTATATAAGACGACGTGATCCTTGCGTCTTCCCTGATGAGGGCGGGCGTCCACGTCTTGGCAAAGAATGCTTGCCTTCGGCAGCATTTCACGAAAGTTTGACAGGAGCAGCAGGTGACGGTTCTGTTTGCGGCCGAACAAGGCATCGTCCAAGAACCCAAAATTAGTGATCGCGAACACAATATAGACGAAGGCAACCACCACTAGGAAGAAAAAAAGCTCCCTTTGCTTTGACATAGCCCCTAAGTCCACTTTTCAGGCACTCACATTCTGGAACGTGCCAAACATCACTGCATCCATTCAAGGCGAGAAGGGGAACGAGTTCTATTTTGGGATAGAGATGCTGGGAATTCATTTCGATCCATGATGATTGAAATGAATTCATAGCATTGCATCCTAGCTATTTTTTTTTATCGGAATAGCTTGAATCCATATGATATAAGCAATTATTAATCGAACAATTTTTTTTAATTAAAGGAAAGGATGGAAAGGCCGCTTTCCAGGCATCGTAACGGCTGTTAATGGGATGGTCGATGGGGTCCGACCGTCAGACGGCTGTTGGGTCCGGCCATCTCATATTTCAGCGCGAGTCGAACCCCATATCGCGTCGACTGCTCCTCGTCGAAAGCAGGGGAGCGACCTTCGCAACGCGATTGTCCAAGAGAATGAAAAAAAAAAAACACTGTCGTATACACGCTTGTTTTTGCCATGTTTTCGTTGGCACGTGGTGATTACAAGCCTTTGGAACAAAATTAACAGTTCCTTTGAAAAGCATGATTTTTGCAACTATTGCGACCCCGACGTTACCGGTCGGCATAGCAACGGCAGAGGCGTGTGTTTCTCATTTATTCATCTCAGCGTGTGTTCAACTTTTCACCCGGTATGCTACAAATTTATGAGAGTGCATTATTTTTTGGCTCTGCAGATTTTCATGAACTCGTTCCAAAGGGCCCTGGAGGAGCACCTTCCGAGAAGACCTTCAGAAATCCTAAAGTAAAATCCTTTAAAACAGCTGACGAGTTTCCCCACCTTACTCCCCCCCCCTTACTATCTCTCCTTACTTCCCCTCCTTACTCCTCCGCTTCCTAGCAATGAAAAGGATGCGGAAAATATTCATGCGAGCATCAACGCAAGAATTGGCGTCAGGAGATACGTGGCCCAAAATGTTCGAACGAAACTGCCGTTTCATCTTCCGTTCAAACCATGGCTAAATATACCGCTCACAATGAGAGGTAAAAGAACTATGATAACGAATAATAAGTCCAGAAGAGGGGGGCGGGAGAGACGTTTGTGGGGGGGGGGGGGATATCTTGAAAGTTCAGAGCAATTTTTTCTTCTGGCCGGTCGGGTTGCTCCAGTCTCTTTCCCCGTCACGGTGTTTTCCGAGAAATAAAAAGTTGGGCAGTGAGAAAAATGTACCGAACGGAGAGCAGCCGCTGGACGAGGTACTTCTCAGGCAATCACTCTTTCAGAGTACGTCACGATTGGGATACGAAAGGGTGCGAGGCAGCGTTGCTATCGGTGTCGACGTTCTTCGCTCTGGTTCTGCTTAAGATTCGCACAGACACCCAGAATCGAAAGGCACGATAGCGCCTAGACCAGTGATGCACAACCCGCGGCCCGTGGAGACCTTTTTTGCGACCCTTTGGATGCCTCCGGTCTCTAAAGATCCATATTAATACGCGACCGATTTCAGTTCATTTTCGAGGGCCTGCGGTCCTCGAACCCCTCGAACATGAGACGAATTCGGCCCTCTAGGGAGAAAAGGTTGTGCACCACTGGCCTAGACCATCGCATTGCAACCGTAGTGCAATACGGGCTCTTCCCATGCTGAAACATGATGACGATACCGCAGACGCAGCCGTGAATTCCGGACACCCCCTTGGACTCAGATTCGCGGTGACAGCCCACCCCCTCACACACAACCCCCTCCATCCTCCATCTTCCCCTCACACCCAGCCCCCTCCAGTTTCCCCTCTCCCCCTCCGACGTAGGGCGTTCACGAGTGGAGGGGGTGGGGGCACCCAAGCTTCATGGGTCTCCGGCCTACTCAAATTTTCGCGTCTGCCCGCTACTACACCTCCGAGGAACAAAACACTCGCCCAAGCTCTCATGCCATGGCATCGCTGCCGACTACGATGGGGCACGTCGGTGAAACTTCCGAATCACACTCGACGGGAACAACCAATTCTAACAAGACACGCGTGGGGGACTCCTCTCTTATCTGCCTCATTTTCCCACGCTGACCGATAAAAGATGGCAAATTTATAAGATCGGCCCATCGCTTTTCCTGCTTTTCCTTGTCTTTTTATTCCTTCCAGCTGTTCGCGGTTGCCATCGTACCCTATTTTTCACTAATTTTAAATTCTCTTCTTTTGAAAATTTAAAATAAAAATTTTCGGTTTCCGATTGAATAACCTGAAAACTAATACAGGTGTCCATAAAGTTACTTCCCTATTTCAAAAGGCCCTATCTCCATTACGGAGCTGCCTAGAAACTTCATATTCGATACAGATGATGTAAATGGAATTTATGACTGCCAAGTTTCCAATTTTTCCAAAAAGGTTCTGGATATCACCACCAGGGCGGCGCTGCACCGGCCAGAGACACGGGTCTCTCCACACTTTGGGAGACGCGTCCAGTCTCTTCTCCGACGTACGTTCCAGGACCGTGCGATCAACAGGGCTTTCCCACAGGCCTAGCCGCCAAGGTCACAAGACCTTACACCCACGGATTGCGGCTGTGGAGTTTCCTGAATTCTGGCTCTGGGGTTTACAGTGGCTGCCCTGCGAACTTAGTGGAGCTCTAGGAATGCACAGCGGCGCCAGATTCTGACAGTGTCGTATGACTAATTACATTCTCTCGTCTACCACTTCATTACATGGATGGAGGCGGTGGTAGTGGCAGGGTGGCCACATCGAATACCTGCAGGTTTGGTCTCGCCATCCACGCGGAAATTGGTGTATGTGCCGACTTTAGACTGTGTTTGGCCAGTATAGCGCCACCCTGGTGGTGATTTCCAGAAACTTTTTGGAAACCTTTGGAAATTTGGCTATCATAAATCCCATTGGCTGTATATCATATGTGCCGAATATGCAATTTCTAGGCCGCTCCGTAATGGAGATAGGGCCTTTTGAAATAGGGAAGTAACTTTATGGACACCATGTATATAAGAAGATATATTTTTTTTTGCTGACATCTCCCTAACTGTTTATATTCATAATTAATATACGTTCTGACAACGTTCCAGTCGCTAGGGCACCATCTTACAGTTTGCTTCTCGATGAAAAGCTTATTTTTTCGCAACTTGAACTCTCGGCGCGACTTTTTTTCGACTTCGGCAAGTTTTGTAGCGACGTAAAGTTATTATAAACTTTAGTGAAATCAAAAATAAAAATTTGGTGACTGACTCTAATTTGGTGAAAATTCATTATGATCTGGTGACGGAGTCAATATTTCTGCGGGTTGAAAATATTTGGTGACAAGTTCATTATTATTGGTGGGTGATTAAATATCTTTAAAAAAGAAAAAGCGTAGTATAAACTGAACGAGTAGCATGCAAGCCATCTGGCAGCTACTCAAGCAAGTAAGGTTACCAAGGGCTAAATCGCCACTGCGGCAAGTCGTGGGTGGTGGAACTCAGCGAGGAAGTGCCCACACGGTCTTGGGAGAAGCGAACGGGATTCGCTTCCCTTGGTGGTGTATCCTGGGAAATGCCTCGACCTTTAGATAGTGTGGATATGAAAAGAAGCGAATGTACATGAACTATATCCTGTCAGCATTCTAGCAACGATAGAGAAAATAAAAGTTTGTTTAAGCCCAGGAAACTACATTACTGAAAACTTGATTCCAATTGGTTTCAAATGAGCTGAGCCTTTATTGTTTTCCTCGAATAGTGTCCTTCTCG